ATAAAGTTTTGTTTTAATTGTAGTTTAGGAGGAGGAACTGTAGGCAGGGTGTTCGAAGACTGAATGTGTCTGACTTTTGCTTTTAGGTCTATTTCTCTGTTACAGTTGTAAACGAGGGTGAGCCACCAGATCAAGATGCAGAAAATGTGGAAGTTACTTCGACCGACAATCCCCAGCGATTTTGTTCCGGTTTCTTCCCCCACTCCCGCCCCAGTGAACCGTACCCATCCGTGGATACCCCTTGGTCCCTGGTTCATTTCTTATTGTTTTCTGCCATCATCCTGCCCTCTTTTTCAGTATTTTCCCTTGGAGTGATTGTTGAGCGATCTACAACTTGGTCAGGAAGACAACATCTACATTTTCAGGAAATCGGAAATAATCTGCATGTACAGTGCGAGCGACACCGAATACAGGGACTAACTTCGAACGGCCGGCTCTTCAGACTCCATAAGTGGCTCGCACACTACAGTGTTGGTTGCCAACGGTCGAGCCCAACGATTCCCGCTAGTATCCGGACATCCGAGGGGAAATAATCTTTCGCGTTCTGGCTGCGCAAAGCGTCACCGGAAAATCGAAAATATTTGCTGCTTGACGCCCTCCTACCTACACAACTCGATAGGGTTTTAGAGGTTGGGGTGGACCCCGATATGCATTTCTTTGACTTGTGCGAATGACTTTCGGCGACACTTAGTGAAACACTGTCTTTTTGCGAAGCCATACACGCTTTGTTCGTACAACAGCTTCGCACCACTGAAAGCCCGATTACTCACTTTTTTCTCAAAAGGCTTCCCAAAGGCGTCTTGACATAATCATTCCGACTGCAACCGACCGCTGCTCTCACAGACGGCCTGGTGAGGACAGAGAGGTATATTCGGGGCGACGACGGCAACCAGGATGTTCATGTTCCAGAGGATTCATCAACAACGTACTCCCATTCCCGCAACGCCGAATTTGGTTCTAATCCGAACAGTAGCCGCCGTCTATTTAACAAATCAAATCGTTTCGTCTTCAACAGCCGACGATGGGCACAAACTACAGCCAATGGCCGACCTGTATTGAACAAGAGATATAGAGAGCCTAAATCTTTGGGGAATAAGTGATTATCTGCACCTACCGTCTGTTAGACACCGAATATGAGGACTAAATTCGAACCCACCGGCTCTTCACACTCCATAAGTGGCTTACACACTAAAACTTTTCATCTTCATTTTTAGTTTAGTAAAACAAATATAAGCGTACTTACCGTACTTCTAAATGTGCAACTATCATTCATTAAACATGCCTAAGTTGCTCATTAATCCAGCTTCTTAGCCTGCAATAGAATCTTACGGTGGTTCCCCATTAGAATGTGCGAGAAATCAGTGAAACCTTTCCACTTCTGGATTATGCTACCTCTTTTGCTTATTTGGGAGTTCCGTGGCCGAAGTCATCACGTTGTCGATTTTAATGTGCGATAATCGTGATAAAACTAGGCCCTAATTTGTGCAGAGCATTGTCTCTGCAAAAGTTAAGCGATGCTCAATACATTCATACATTCATTTCAATACGATTTTGCACTTTAGTGTGCATTGTTCTTCGGAGTGCTTTCCGCGCCCTTGACTTATTCTTAGCTAATCAGTTTGGATTTTCCTGTACTTCAATCCATTAAGTATATCAGCAGTTTTTACACTTGGCTTTGTCACTATCATTATTCTCTTCGTTGGACTACAGTCCATCAGACATTCTTCTTGTGTTAGGTATGCAGCAAGTGTCTTAGTTTACATTTGATTTCCTGACAACTCTGAAGCTAACAGCGTCGAACCCTCCTGAATTCGTCGTATTTCCGTGAGATTAAAACGTGCTGGATTCTTCTAACTAATGACATAGCACAGTTAGAATACAGGAGCATTTTTGAAAAAAAACAACGTTACTAGTATCTGATTGCGCAGCTAATAGTTCGCTTAACGATTGATTATACTCAGTGTTTAACAAAACCATTTTGTGACCTGAAGCGCATTTTTAACCTCAAAGTCGACTTCAAGGCCACCGTGTTGGAAAACTGGAATGCTCAAACTGTCAATTTACTTCACACCAAAATAACAGGTCTTAGGTTCGGGTACATTTTAAAAGAAAAAAATCCGATTTATGGTTAACGTGCTGGAAACTAAATATTTCTGTGTGAGTATTTAATTTTGTACAATTTTTATTTGTTTTCGAAATGCCAGTTTCAATATATTGGATACAAAAGCATTAAAAAAATTCGGATTTATTTCTTGTAATTAATTGCAACAGTCAGGAAAAGTTTCGTTCGTATTTTGGAAAGTATGTTTCGCAAATTCGTAGGATATTTTTTTTCAACAGTGATAAATTATTTGTGAACAGCTAGTTTATTCATCGTTAGTGGGCTAAGAATTGTCCATATAAATTGAACGTGCTCCATTTTCTTATAGGCTGCTGTGTTGTCTTGCTATCATTGTTGAACTGGTTTCTTTCCAGACCAGCCCTATCTTTGGAAATGTTTACTACCCTACCAACCTCGCAAGAGCGGGACAGCGTTTCACCCCCCTCAGCCCAGCCTCCTCGGAACTCACGTCCGAATTCTTTTAACTATGCCCGTCCCTCTCCCGTTGACACCAGTCTGTTACCGGATTACCCGTCTACGACGTCGTACCCCTTCGACATGGGATTTTTTCGGGCTTGTGGGGGGAGCGTTGCCAGTGGCGTCAATAGTATTCCCGATCACCATAGCATCCAAACATTGACTCATACATTTCAAATTCCCACGGCTCCTAGGAATTGCACTCAGGAACTAAGCAAGCGGCCCAATCAGCTGAATGGTTCGACACAAATCTGCACTTCGGAAGAGCACAGTGAAGACTGCAGTCACTCTTTATCTGACGCTGACCAACAAGAAGAAGCCAGCAATGAAGCCGATGGCGTTTGGTCCACGGAAATCGAACAATTTTTCCAAGAAGCA